TTCCTTCCCCCGGTTGGGTGCAAGCAATACTTCCAGAAGGGCACGGCGTAAGTCGACTGGCAACGAGCAAGCTAACAAACCTCCGCTCGTTCCCGTGCAACTGTGAACGCAGGTTCCCTCAACCTCGGTTTGTTTCTGAAGATGCCACCTCGATCGTTGCGCACGGGTTTGAGGCTTGAGAAGCTACAGAGATGCAAGAGAGCCTGCGGAGGTTTTCCAGTCGTCGGGCCTTTTCCATTTTCCGAGCTTTGTCCACACGTCCATGGTAAACGTCTAAGGAAAGTCGGACGGCAAATCGTACCCTTCTGGAAGACATTGCAACTTTGAGCTCACTGCAAGCCTGCGGCGCAATGTACGCCGCATAACGATCTTGAAGCTCTCAGTGTACATGCCTGGCACGTCACGCTAGGTGAATGCCAAATTCTTGCGCATTCGCATATTACAGAGCGACTTTAACACGGTCAAGCGGCCAGCGGACATTCATGCTGACTGGTGTTTGTTGCTGTACACGAGAGCCCACCACCAGGAAGCCATGACCCTGTGGAGTTCAAGGAAGGTTGAGAAGCGCACAGCTGGCGTGACGAATTGCAGACCCTAATAATGCCATGCCTCGGATCTTGCCACACGCCGGCGTTCATGCAACAGCGGCTTAGCGGGCCGAAGTCTTGTAAGCAGTGGAATCAAGTGCAATAGACATCAATAGACTCAATGGATGACGACCTGCCTCAGTCCGCACAAGACCACTCGAAAGTTGTGTGTACAGTGTTGACACATACTCAAGCCAGCCACCCATTCAGATGCACAGCATCGAACTCCACAGGCGGCACGGGGTTTCCATGCGGATGCTCTGAGATGCACGGTTTCTTTGGTTACGGCTATGGGCTAAGATTCCGGAAGTGTACCCGGCCGTTTCCAAGATAATATCTCGAAGACATGGAGAGCCACTAAGTGTCAGCGCAGTTCTCAGACATTCGCATGGCTTTGGGGTGTTGACTGGCGGCCTAGCTGAGCCACGGCCCTTCGAGCCAAGTGGACGTTCCTTCGGCGGTCTCGGCTGGACCTTCGCATGGTCAAGATTTCGCTCGATGCAGCCTCGCCAAGAAGGTCTTAGTCACCTTGGTCTGAAGCAGTGGCTCACTGATTGCGGTCGATGCCTGCTTGCATAGCGGAGCCTTCACGGACTTGCCTGGTAACCTACGAAGCCTTGATCTGAAGTTTTGCAGTCCACAAACATCCCAAGAGTCCAGCCTTGAAGTTGAGTCTGCCGATTCCACTGGCCAGAAGCGGCCTTGGTTCCTCCGGGCTTGTGGAAATACCGGCTTGGGACTGGTCTCTAGAGGCATGCGACGGTCGACTGCTTGTCAACAAGGTGAACTTGATGTATGCTTATTCCTCACTTCCGTTTGTCTCAAACCTTATACACGATGATAAAACGTGATAATCTACTTTAGTGGGATTTCGGGGTTGTCCCAAATCCAATAATCGCTACCTCCTAATAGTAAGACGCCCCCGCCTCCCTAATCTAAAAACCCAGATCCGGGGGTTCAGTTCTTATATTAGGGGGGGGGGGGGGTTCCGGCGCATCCGGGCATGAGTCGTGTTACTGTAGACTGTAGCCCTGAGCCTTAAGAGCCCTACAGCCTCAAGCCTTAAGCCCTTAGCCCTAAAGCCTTAAGCCCGAAACCAAACAGTCAGACACAACGACCGACTCCTACGCAGCCGTTCCGGCTGTAGAGCAGGCAGTCAGCC